ACGAAATAATAATTTTCAAATCGGATTTTACAACAGCTATTTTTTTACATAAGTAAATTGTTGAATTGTAAATCGACTAAGACTTAGAAATAGTTACAGGGATGCCATTTATATCATTTAAGTACTAATTATTAAATTTGATTGGGAAAAAAAAATTAAACGCGTTGCTTTTTAATCAAGGTTGCAAAAGTCGTGCAGTTGAAATGTAATGAAACTATTCATTTGTTCAATAACAAAATATCATTGAAGTAGTTGAAAGACACATGAATTATGCATGTCTTGTAATACAAAATTTGTACTACAAATTAAACTAATTCTTGACCCGCACCTGCAGTACCTTGAAGGGAAATCACACGGCCGGCACAAAAACGCTGTTTGAAACCGGACGACCGGTACACATAATATTACGATTCTCAATGGGTACTCTAATTTATTATTTGTTTCTGTGTAGTTTTTCAAGCATAGGAAATTGTTTCACATACGAAATTTCTATGTTATTCGATTAATAATTATTTAATGCACTTTATGTTTCATACGACTACCCCTAAGGCCTACATGGTATTGTTATAATAATAATATCATGCGAACGCTAATGATGTGTGAAACGCATTATACGAGTGCGATGCCATCGCCGAGACACCTGTGTCGTTGTCGTCCTGTGGGAACTAACAATATCCATTTCTACCAGAGTATGCACTTTATTGTTTTTGTTTTACGACATTATACATATTACATGACATTCGTTTAAAACAACGCAAATTAGTAGTTTTTAAGCAACTACATATTTGTGTGGTCTCTCGTGAAAATTGTTCAGTTACTTATTGCTATAAATTTGTTTCAACTAATTTGCTGCATAAAATTATAGACTTTAGTTTATATATTTTTTTAACTTGACACGTATTAACTTAAAGCTTATTAAATACTACTAATGGTAATAAAACTATTTATTTGTAGTGCTACCAGTTTTGTAATAATTATCACTAATAAATACTAATATTCTAATTTGTCTCTTTTGGATGCTCCTCATTCAATAATTTTTCAAAATACTCTTCCACCTTTTTTTCACATCATCATCACTCGATAACACCCTCTTATCAACACTTTTTATACACCTTAAATAGTAATAATCTTTAGCCTTTTTTTCTCTTGCCTTTGTAAGTCTATAGACTTTTTTGTCACCTTCCTTCTTTGTTCCTAGCCTATCATAAAACTCATCATGTCTCTTAAACTTCACCTTACTGCACACTTAGCTTTTTGCACAAGCGTTTATACTCCATCCAATATACTCTCCTTTTGCTCTTCTACCATACTTTGAACTGCTTTTTCTTACTCTCTAATATTTTTTTAACGTTTTCATCCCACCATCAAGTTTCCTCGTTTCCTGGCATTTTACTCCTACTCTCACCAACAATCTCCTTTGCAGTATTTTTTTACACAACTAGTAAATCTATTCCACTCATCATTTATGTTTTCCTCTTTATTCCACACTATCCTCTCTTCCTACTACACCACAATTCCATTATTATCAGTCTATGTTATGAATTTACACTTTCGCCTAATAAGGACTAGTAGTAGTAAAAAATATATATTACATTTCTATTTTTGATTATTATTTTTATTTTCGGAGCTAGAGAAAATATATATAGAAATGTAATTTCTAAAAAATAAACTTTATTTTTTAATTTGAGAAATAATATTAATAATTGGAGAATATTTTTTATATTAGTTCTCTAAAACAATTACTCTAGTTATTCTCTTTATACGTAATAATACGGAACCTTATACCCAATTCCTTAATAGGAATTAAGCTTTAAGCGTTTGTCGATTGTATGAATTGTTTAGTATATTTACAAATATATTCATGTTTTCAATTTTGTGCTGACATTTTTAATTCGTTACAGAATTCATCTTCGGAACGATAGTTACAGTGCCGTAGTTTTAAATATAATGTCGCCCGAAAACATCATTATGATTATTTTTTGTTGTTGCTAATGTTGTTGTTGTTGTCTGTGTTTAGTTTTTGTTGTTGTTTTCAACATTCTTGATATTTTGCTGTTTCTTTTCTGCACTAGCATTTTTCAGATATGTCTAATACGGTTTTCACATATTATGTTATTTTTGTTATTATTTGGTGGCCTAAAATAGAAAAATACTAGAAATATAAAAATATCCAAATTTTAAATTTTAACAAATGAAAAGAGATTATGTAATCATTAATTTTAAATTTTACGATTTAAGCCAACATTCGTAACATATTAAAACTATGGACTCGTTTATAACTTCTAAGTTAGTTGAAATGGAATGCATAAACTTTCCAGAGGAACTTTGATAAGAAGATCGGTCACTAAACCTATCAGTGTCCAAATATCAAACGGTTGTAATTCAAATGAAGTGACCCAAATAACGGTAACAGGGAAAATGAAATAAAACTCAACAACCCACCATAATTTCCTGGGTGCTACCTTTTTTTTTAAGTTTAAGTTTTAAGGCTATATGCAACGAAACCAATTCTATTGCGCACATTTCTTTGTGGAAAAATCTTGGAACTTTCGATTTCATATCTTTATCAATGCGTAGTCATTAAACTGTTTAATAAACTCTTAAATACACTGCTTCAAAAAATTTCCTAATTTTCACTAACGTAATTTGGAAATTTTTTAAAATTGAACATTTTTTTCATTTTATTGAATTTTATTTATTTATCGATTTATAACCGGTTAAATATTTTTTAGATCTATTCCTTGTCCCTTAAAAATACATAAAACATCCTCCACCAATACCTGAAGAACTGTATACCAAACTCAGGCTAACTGGAAGAATAATTCCACTAACCCTTAATATACTTAAGTTGAAGAGAAATGGAATATTTTAAAATTATAATGTGATATAAAATCCAAAAAAATATTAAGTTTTACAAAATATTTTCATGAGCTAATAACGTCTTCTAATGAAAACATTTCTTTAACGTAGAAACGTTTATTTAACAAATGCAGTGTAACTTAAGTGAACTTAGATCAGAGTATAAATATATCTTTGCACTGAGAGCCATTGATATACATAATCGACATGATTTGTTTGATAAATTAATGATAATGAAAAAGTTTCTGCTATGTATTCATAAGTCTTATAAATTATTGATTCATTATTTTCATACACTTTTCATGATTTTATTTTTGTTCAAATTTGTTTTATAAACAATAAGGGTGGTCGTCTACTTTGGGGGTCAGTACCATCAAAATTTTTAAAGCCCATATTTACAAAATATGGATTTTGCACAATTTTGCAAAAAAAAATTTCTCTAGTATGATTACTGAATCAAAATATAATTAAGTCATCTTTTCCTTTAAAATGAATTATAAATACGCCCTTGATAAGCAATATGGTTTTTTATTGTTATTCGAAAAAATATAGAACTTATGATATGTTTATGTAAAAGTATTTTTTTATTATTAAAGTATTTTTGACAATAACATAATATATTTACGCTGTGTAACTAAAATGCCTATAATAGAAAAGACATATTTAAGCAACTTCCATATAATATCATTTTTATGTATTTATTTTTCAAAAAGTGACAATAATTTTTAGTAAAAAAATAAAAATATATGAATATTTCTACATATAGCTGTATAGATTGTAAATTTTCTAATAAACGTTCTTAAAAAAAAAAAAAAAATGGATATTTCTTTACTTTAACATTTGTATTTTTTTTGGAGAACTATTGAGAGTGAAGACTTTTTGAGCGTAATATCTTCAACCAAATACAATTTTCGATAGTTTGATAAATTGTTCTATAAAATCAGTGTGTCATAATCTGGACTTCAGTGGCACGAGATACAATAAAAATAAAACGGATGTTTATTTAAAGCTTTTATTTTTTATTTATGACCTGTATAATAATTTTACAATATTTCATTAGAATTAATGCATATTTTTTCAAGGAGATCCAGATGATTTCCAAAAAATAAGTTTTAGAGATTTTACCCCTTCAAACCCCTTGAGTCATGATTTTATACCAATAGAGGCTTCGAACTTTATAGACCCTTTTAAAGATATCGCTTATTAAAAAAATTTATATCGCACAATAATCAGATTTAAAGTGAAAGTAGGTTTCTAATAAATTGTTATTTTAAAATTTAACTTATCAATATTAAATTGGCGACTTACATAACTCAGTCATAATGAGTCATGCCCCGAAGTTTAGCTACAGGATTTAATTCCGTTGTACTGTGCTACATAAGTTTTCCCGTTCTCTCTGGGACAAACAATAGATTTTAGAGAGGAATAACATAATTAAAAAAAATTAAATAATTGATCATTTTCAGAAGATGTTTGATTTTTTATTGACATTTAGTATTTACAATAAAAAACTAAATAAATTACTAAATATTTGTTAAAAGAGCGTTGTATCTCTCTCTAGTTCACTAGAGTTTACTACAATACATTACAATATGAACATTTAATACTAGATGACGCTGTCAGTATTCTTGAGTTGGAAAAAACGGTGGCAGAGTGAGTGCGATGCATAGTTTGTTTCAAGTATTGATGATATCTCACAATGATTAATATTACTATCATAAAAATCGCTTCGTACAAATCATTAGATAGCGTTCAATTTTTGTTGGGTTATTTCAAAAGTAACAAACTCCTATTTCCTTAATTATATCTTAATTAAAATTTTAAATATTTATGAGTATAATACAAGAATATATGTTTATCATAAAAATTAAATTTAATATGTAATTGATAATTAATAATATTAATAAGCTTTATATTTTCTATGACTCATTAAAATAAATTAAATTTTGTAATTTAAATGTATATATTTTGATGAATAAATCATTATTAAACAAAAGGGGGAGTTTTAGTTTAATAAATCACTTGGTTGATAAATAAAAAAAATTTCAAATTTTAATGTGTTCTTTTTAATGGAAAAACATTATTTAACAAAAAAACGTGGGTATAGTATTCTTAATAAATCATACTATACATCGCTTTTATTAAAAAAAAAATTTTTTTTTGTTGTATCGTGTTCATAACATCTGTATACTAAAAATGTAGCAACCAACATATTAAACTAAATTCGATAGAATCAGCTATTACCATTTCAAATACTATAGATGTGTTTTTGTTTTATAATTATATTACGATTAATTCATTTTGAAAATGTACTTACTATATTTCACAACATTGTGCTTAACTGGACCAATAATAGCTTCATATGAAGAACAGATGGAGATGTTGCTAAGAAGACCATTTTGGGAAACTGTAGTATCAGAATATCCAAATATAGCTATAAAAGATGAAACCGAAGAAGTTACATTGAGAGAATTGTTTGCGCCAGGTTTAAACAATAAAATAGTAGATGAAATAAATAGAAATGAAAAAATACGACAATTCCATTTATTATTGAGTGTTATTTATGGTGACTTTATGTATAATTTCCTTGAATTTCTGAGTATTATCCAAAAACATCATTTAAGACTTAATTTACAATGGAACTGCAAAGATGATTTGGTACTTCTTATTCAATACTATGACAATATAACTTCAATGGCATATAATTCATTGTTTTTATTAGAAAGTTGGTACCAGGTTGATGATAGTTATCCTCTTATTAATGATGTAGTCCAATATGTAATTTTTAAATTAAAACTTACTGAAAATTTGAACGAAGAAATATTCTACCGGAGTTTGGATACTTTAATGATAGATTTGAATTTTTTTTTCTCCAATAACTTTAATGCAACAGCTAATTTAACAGTTAAAGTAAATGATTTATTATCAATAAACCGTTTCATTGCATTAGTATTAAATTCAAATTTCAGCCAGGAACGTAGAATAACGTATTTCAAGGATTTTTTAAAGGTTGCATATGATGATTTTTTAAAGTTTTTTACTGATATTGGATTTGTTTTTAATGATGAAACACATGAAGTTAACTTGATACAATGATTTAAATCTCAAAGCTGAATACACCTAATACATAAACGAAAATATATTGATTTATTGATATAATATGTATATAAAATATTATAATATATTGTATTTAAAAAAAATTACAAATTTTAATTAACATAATCATTTTTCTTTTTTTTTTGGATATTGATATAAGTCATTTTTATTAGGTATATGCTTTTTAAATTATTTTTAATTAAGCCAGTTAACATTTTCCACTATCGCATAACAACGATCGAAAAAGACAATTTACATATAAAAAACCTTAGAACTTCATATGAAACTTTCAGAGGTCAATTTTATTAATGTTTTTCGATATTTTAGTGACTGTGATTGGCTCTTATTCAATTGACCACAATTTGAATTTATGCAATGTATTTTAAAGTATACAGTAGATTCACTATAAATTTTCATCGTCACTAATATAAAAAATGCAAACGATATTTAGGAATTACAGTGATTTTATCCGTATATTATAAAATAAATATAAAATATAACTATAAATTGTTATAATACATAAACCACTCATTATTCAGTAGTATATAAATTATTTACTATTAGTCATCAAATTAAATATATAATATCATGTCAATCCTTTAAACTATTCCGAGAAATATGTCTAAAAATGCATTAATACAATTCCACTGTAATAACTTTAAGAAATTTTTTAGTCATGAAAAATCATGTATTTTAAGTAAAATAATATGTGGTAAATAACACGATTGAGTAATAAACAGATAATAGTAAAAAGTCGTGACACTTCTTGCACATATAGATAAATTAAATTTAATATAATAGGGCATAAATACTGTCAATCACTCTCACTGTTCCTTCATTTTATAAACTTTCAACAAGTGTAAAAAGTAGCTCGACAAATTTACGATTTCACACAGAAAATTGAAGTATATTTATTTTTCAACCTTACTCCTGATATCATTAAGGTAAATTCATATTTCACAGAAGATTTATAAGGTTTAAAGTTAAGTATAACGAGTACATAAATTAAGTAGGGAACCAGAAAAATTAAACAATAAGATATTGTTTAAATAAATAAAGAAAATCAACGTTTGTACGAAGTTAGCCAACCTAGTTCAATCTTTGAGTGGGTTACTTGTGTAGTCAATTCAATCTCTTGCGAAGATAGAGAATCCACTTGTGGTTCCTATACTACTTGAGGTATTTATTGACACGAACCAATGTCAGCACAAGCTAAGATTATGAATATTAAGAATATTAACCCAACTACTGGTACGAGTGGCGTTGTTGGTAACTTATGTGTAATAATTAATCACAATAATTTCTATTTAAAATTATTATTATATTAATCAATTTTCAAACATCACTTTGCTTTTCTATAATTTACATCTTCTCATGAAACCCTGGTACTCATATCCCGAGAGAAATTTTTTTTTTTAATAACCTTTATTAAAATAATAATTAGCTCAACAATTATAAGCAAAAGTAAAAAGTATAACATTCATAATACTATGTTATAACGGTACAAAAAATGCGTCAATAATTGTTAGTATACTCAAAATTAGAAAAAATTAAACATTATTTAAAATTATTGTTATCAAAGCCTTTAATGTCAAACTGAAAAATTATTAAATTAAAATTTTTAATTGAAAGAAAGGAAGAGAGAAAAAAAATGATAAAAAATAACTACAAAATAATAATAATAAAATAATTAGAGATTAAATGACAAAGCCGGAACTCCTCAAGAAAGATATGATGGAAATAATTATAATGGAAAAAAGGGAATTAAGAGTATTAGCTACGTAAGAGGGATTAATATTGTGGGAAGCTAAGAGGCTAAATAGTTTATTTCTACTGTTAATTAAGATAGGACAATCAAAGATAAGATTATATTATATCATTTTATTAAATAAATATATAGTAACTCAATTATTCTCATGCTCATACAAGACCAACAAACAACTAATTGTATACATTATTTTAATCATAGAATAACTACTATTTACATAACATTCATTTTTTTGAGTTACTATAAAATAATTTGTAATAATAAATTAAAAGATGTGGTAGATAACGTGACTATACAAAGTGTAAATGTTTTTTTTTTTACATGATTTCTTATAGGAATTTAACACAATTCAAATTTTAAACATTATTTTAACTTCAAAAGATTTTTTTTTTATAGTAGGCCTATTCGGCCTACGCTATTCCACATACTGTATCTGTATGGCTTGTTATATTGTTCCCCAGTTATGTAATGTTCTGAACTGTTTCCAGCAATATTTCATCTAAAGCTATGTTTGCATTATTCTGCTGTTTGTTAAGTATAAGGATCTTAGTTTCCTTTGATTTATTTAAATGTAGAGTTCTTTAAGCGTGCCGTTCATATTTATGAGCATGTTAGTTATGCCTTCTTCACTTAAAAAAAAAAACAAACAGTGGTTTATTGATTCTAATCATTTTCTCTATGATTATCCATAAGCATATTATCGTTACTATTTTTCATGAAACCAATTCAGCTAAATTTTCGTTTATCATCGACTCTATTCTTTTATGCATTATCTTTTTGATAATTTTAGAAGAATGTGTTAAGAGGGTATAAATAAAGTATTTATGAAAATATAATTGTATTGATCTAAAAATTCTTAAAAAAGTTATAGCATTATGAAGTTAAAAATATAAAATAAAGAACTTTAACACAAAAATAGCATATTTTTGAATACGATAGCCATTTTTTTCTAATTAAAGTATATTGCATAAGCTTTTATTTAAGATACATATACAGGTGTCAGTGTTTTTGGAAATCTTACAAAAGTTAACTTTATGTGCAAAAGTTGCCATTTTGAATACCCCTAATCAGGTTTTCAAAAAATTATACCAAATGATACAGAAATATTTCAGGTACCTAAAAAAAATTTTTTTTCATCCATTTTTCTAAGAGTTGTCATAACTTAAAACTGTCATAGTTTTTAAAACTACTGTGTTTTAAAAATTTTGATTTTGGGGGCATATACCCCATTTTACTGTAAACGAAGTTATTTCTTTCAATTTTTGAGGGTATTCAATATTTTCAACTAGATATGAATTATGATCTTTTGACGTATTGTTCATCAAAAACTCGGTCTAACGAGACCTGAGAATAAATGGTAACAAACACAAATAAAAATAAACGATAAAAAAAAACCCATCATAATAAAGTTAACTTTGTTTATTAAAAGTATGTTTTTAAAAAAGAAACGCATTATAGTAAATATACCGCAGTGTTTGCTACAAAAATACAAAAATAGTTGAGGTGAAAACTACAGTCTATTTTTTATAAATAAGTGCACATTCATGTTTTATATTCTAAACAACAGATTAAACTTGTAGCAGAAGTATTAAATTGTTTGGGAACTCCTTTAAAAAATGAATATATTATATATATATTATGCATTTATATAGCAGAACAAATATTTTCATTCAATTTTGGTGGAAATTGGTAGACATATACTATGAAGTGTATAAATTAAGAGAAAAATATTTTTAAAAATCCTATCTAGAATTTCAATATACAATATGGTTTATCAAGAATACTATCCATTTTTTCGTCGATTTTATCATAAAAATATACACATTAATATTTTATTTATTTTTATAAACTAATAAAATATCAAATTAGTTATAAGACACAAATTATTTCTAAGGGCAGATTTTAGAAGTTACTTTTGAAAGTTTAATAAGAATCTATTGTTAATTTTTTATAATTAAACGGGTACTGGTCTAAATAAAATTGTGATCGTTAGATAAAGTTTTGTAACATTATATTAATACATAGAGTGTTCAGTAAGTAAGAAAACGGGTTTCTATTATTTACATTGTTTAAAACAATTGACCTATTTCCTTGTTTTTTGAACATTTTGTATAATATTAAAATAGTAATGTACCTATGCGCAAAAAGAAACTCCTTAAACAACAATTGGGAATTAATAATATATTTTCCATCGTTATGAAATAATTTAATAATATAATATACATAATTATGTGACAATATTTAATATAAAAATAATAATACAACCTTAAATATTATTGAGCATAACAATTTAGTAATATATCATATTTTTTTCTTTACAATTACAACAAATAATAGGCAAAATTACGTCTATAATTTTGTTTATAATTAGAACTCATAATTTACAGCAATAAAATGTGTTATTTTAAGAGCTATAATAAGCATTTAAAAGTATTATTTTTAACATTTTAATATGTACCAAAAAGTTCAAATTATGTGTAAAATGAATTTAAAACAAATTTATTAAAGTCTTATTTCATGAAAAATGTTGTAACTTTTATATTATACTATACTAAATCTATACTTTTATTATTAAAATTGTGGGTGAATTCTGGCTAGCCACACAGCAATAAATGACGTTTAAATAAATTAATAACAAACTAAAACGGTATTATCAAAACTTTTTCAATAAAAATCCCATGTTTAAGGAGTGCTGGGAGGAAGATAAGGAGAGTGGAGGCACTATTGGCCGACGAAGCGGAAATGAACAAAATAAGAATTTTTTATACAGAATAATTGATTTATATATTTATATATATATATTATAAATAATAAAAATTTTGAACATTAATTTTTAAAATCAGTAAATTTCGACTTTTTTTCTAAAAATTGCCATAACTTACTGAAAAGAGAATAAATCAAATAATTATTTTTTATATTGAAACCTTATTCCCTTTTATTTAATATGATATTTTTGAAAATCTGACCCTTTACCATCACACAACAAGGATTCAAAATAGTAACTTTTTCAACTTAACTTTTGAAAATTTTCCAGAAGTACTGCGTCCTTTAAACATCTGTCAAATTAAATCTTATGTTACGTACTATAAATACAAAAAAAAAAATTGTCACGACGACTTATCTTCTTTATGCATATGGCTGCCCTAGTTAAAATACATGCTATTTTTGTGTTCAAATTAAATTTTATTTGTTTATTATAAAATATTTTACAAAGATTAGCCAAAGTAATGAGTCCGCCAATAAATATAAAATTTACATGAATCTAACTTACATTAAATATAAATTTATACTTATTTTGCATCTTCAAATTTAAGAAAGGCTTTTTTGAATTTTTAAAAACTTGAAAATTTGTATAAAAAGTAAAACTTTTTCAACTTAACTTTTGAAAATGTTCCCGAAATACTGCGTCTTTTAAATACATGTTAAAATAAAGCTTATTTGATGTAATAGAAGATCAAAAGTCAAAGTAAAACAAAAAATAGGCTTCTGGAATAATCCAACAATTTCTTAGAATTAAACACTATCTACAGATTTACATCGAAGCGTTGTTGGAGTTTAGGTTTATTTTATAATAAATAAACAACACCGCGGTCAAATAGATATTCAAGTACGATATATTATTATTATTAATATATAAACAAAAGCTGTAAAAGTAACACTAGGTGGTCCGTAAGGAAGTTGAAAGATAATTCATAGTGTGCATCGCCGAACGTGTTCGCATCACCCGCGGTCACTCGGCGTCGCGCGACCTTTCAGCGAGGAGAGGTAGCTGTTTCGCAGTCGCCATTCAGCGGTAAAGCTGTAAGTGCAATGCGACCGCGTTAGTGTTTCTTATGATTGTGATTTTAATTACTGTCAGATATCGTCTATATTTGTCCTAACTATGCCACGTCCATACTATGTTCCTGTTTTTTTTTATTAGATATATATTTTTTATTCCTCAATTTATATGTTTGTTAAATATCATTTAGATCTATTCCTTGTTCCTTTTAATTTAATTTTTTTAAAGGAAATATACATATTTATGTAGCTTATAAAATATGGAATGGATCTGACTAAAAAAATTACTAATCGTTAACAACTTATGAACAAATGGTTCAGGAGTCATGAATATTTGTATAACTCGATGAGAGGAGTAACGTATATTGTATTATAATTTAATTAACTAACAAATAACTTCACTAACATACATGAATGCTTCTACTATATTCATGTAAAGATTAATTTTCTTACTTTTTTATAATTATTATTACTATGTTATTTTTTCAAAACAATCATATAACTTTATAAACATTATAAACATAAAATCAACAGTAGCAACACTATATAAAATTCATATTGTTAACTGGCTTTACTTTTTGTTGTATTTATAACCATTAGGGTGGGGCAAAAAAAATCGACCTTGAAAATTTTTATCAGACACCCCCTAAATTTATTAAGTATATAATAATCATGTTTTGAAAATTTGAGATCGATAAAAAAATTTTTACTGGTCGCTCAAAGCGTTTTTTTTTTTCATACAAAAAATACTCCCTATTTATTAAAATATGATTAAAATTCTAAATTTTGGTCAATTATAATCATCAGTATATGTACAACGTTGTATTTTTAATTTCGAAGACCAATATTGATTACGTAATTTACCTAAACGTCTAAGTATACGGTACTTTTCGGATTGATCTGAAAGGGGTCAAATATATTTTTGAGCTTTGAAAAATTGATAGTTAAGTTGATTGTTGTGTTTATTATATGGTGTAAAATTTTTTTTACTAATAATGAAAATTAATACCTTATTATTATGTTTTATTAAGTCATATACTTTACTTAACACTAAAAATATAATTTTTGTCCTTAATAGTGTTTATAGGTTAATTTTTCCACAATTTTCATTAAAAATGTTTAGAACACTAAAGTAACAAACGGAAATAAATAATCGTATTTATTCATTTTTATTGTCAATTAAAGATGATTCTTTTCCATCAGGATAGTCACTTCTGTGTTTTTCAACAAATTGAAGAATTTGTTGCCTTTGTTCCTCGCCTGTTGTTAAGGAGTTATTAAAATTTGTCATCAAAGCTACTCCTCTCTCTGCTGGATCATTCACAACGATCAACGATTTGACTTTATTATAGCCATGAATGTAACTTTCATTTTCTAGCCAAGTTTCTAGGTCACAATTTATAAAATTATAGTCAATGTTAAGCGCTGAAAAAATTTTTTTTGTATTTTCTGTTACAAATTAATGATTACCAATGTTTTCTTGAATTGAGTTCGTTGAAATTCGATTTTTATAATTAGCTTCAGCTTTATTATTTAAGGATTTTACCTTTTTTTTCCTCTATTTGTTAAATTGTTGTCAAAATAAGCTAGTCCAACAAGTGTCTCACTAAGGTACCATAAATGACCAGAAAAAGCTTTTACACCTACGTCACTTATGATCTTATTGATTTTACTGTAATCTTTAAGTTGAGTTAATAAATTTAGATCATTTCGAGGAGCAATAGCTGAACAACAACAAGTATACCAAAAATGTATATATATATATATATATATTGAAAATAAATAAATAAAATTGTTGTATACCTTTAAGTACGTAAGGTGTCAATTGGTTAAATTGGTCTCGTAACATATAAATTCTTAAGCAATATATTATTTTAGTCATCCATCAAGCTCGATGAAAAGGTCTAGGAAATTTAAAATGAGTTTTCCCCGAATGTTTCTTTTCAACACACAATAAACATACTCCAATAACTCTTTGTAATCATCACATATCAAAGTGCATGCACCGTTTAACCTTCCTGTATTAGAAATCGTAGCGTCAAAACACATCAAAGTGGTGCGATCAATTAAATTCCATTATAATAATAATTTTATGACAGCATCTGCTTATAATTGTCCGGTTGACTTAAATAACTGCGGTACACCAAGAAGCTTTGTATTTCCGTCACCAGACACTATTACAACTAATCTTTCGATAAAATTTTTTTTATCAGATGGTAACATTTTCCCATCCCAATGAACCAATAATGTACCATAAGGTTTAAATTAATTCAATATTACTTCTGACATAATTTTCCTATCACAAATGCGAGCTCTTCTTATTGAATCTTTGCTAATTGACACGCCTTTTATTTCTTTATCTGAATTTGTTGAAGTCGCTATTAAAAGTATTAACATTGAAGCAGTAACGATAATGTCTTTTTGTTTACATTATGAAAATATAGAAAATGGGCAAGAACTTCACGTTTTGACGGATGTCGATTTCCAACTTAATTGAGGTTACAAGAAGCTGATAATTTTTTGATAGGCCTGTCCATAATTACTAAAATGAAGTTATTTAAACTTTAGCCGTTATTAATTAATTAAGTAGGTTAAATTTACTAATAAACACTTTCAGCTTATAAATTATTGCACTATGTGTTTTTATGAAATAATAAAATAAAATTATAAAACTTACTTACTGCTAATTTCCCGTAGACTAAAAAATTTGTATAATTGTAAATTCTAGATGAAATATAAGAGATAAATTTGATTAAAATGTATGAAAATGCTGATCTACAGGTACACAAAAACTTTTAAAAACATATGTAACTACTTGTGAACAATACATCAAACACTGAAACAATTTTATCATCACAAAAAAGGTGACTTAATGTTTGATATCTATATTGTAGATTATTAATTTATGATTATTCAATCGATAAATAGCATCTATGGATATTTTTATGACTTAATACCTCCTAACAATGATATATTTATTGATAGATATCATTAGGATAATATCCAAACTTAGAAAAAAAAAACGTTAAAATAAGATTTTAATTTTCATTATTAGTAAAAAAAATTTTACACCATATAATAAACACAACAATCAACTTAACTATCAATTTTTCAAAGCTCAAAAATATATTTGACCCCTTTCAGATCAATCCGAAAAGTACCGTATACTTAGACGTTTAGGTAAATTACGTAATCAATATTGGTCTTCGAAATTAAAAATACAACGTTGTACATATACTGATGATTATAATTGACCAAAATTTAGAATTTTAATCATATTTTAATAAATAGTAGGGAGCATTTTTGGTATGAAAACGAAAAACGCTTTGAGCGACCAGTAAAAATTTTTTTGTTTTGAAAAAATAACATAGTAATAATAATTATAAAAAAGTAAGAAAATTAATCTTTACATGAATATAGTAGAAGCATTCATGTATGTTAGTGAAGTTATTTGTTAGTTAATTAAATTATAATACAATATTTGTATAGAATTTTATAATTATCCGACTTTATTTAAAACCTATTCGATGTCTATTTTGTACAAAACATGATGTTAAACTATTAGTTTAATTGAGTCAAATATTTAATTAATGTAATTGCTATATATTTTTTTGTTCATAAATTGTATTTTTTTAATACGTTTCACATACAGACTTATAATAAAGAATGACAATAAAAAAAGAGTAATAAATAATATGTCATGCTGTATTATACAAAAACAGAAAATTTACATAAAAGATTTAACTTTATTTATTGCACTCTTACTGAGTATACAGTGATTTGTACAAAATTTTTAATTAATTCTAGGAAGATAAATTTTATTACTTCTTCAATATTGGAATCGGTAAGAATTATTGTTAAATTATTCTTTTCAGTATATATTATAATAAAATATAATTAGTTTAACGCATATGATTTTGGTTTCATTATCTAATTAAATTGTATAAATTTATATTTCATAATTGTTAAAAAAAAGGAGCGCAAATATATATATAACGCTAATGTAGTGCGCTATTTTTTTTTTTTTTTTTGTATTTCTATGGCAATGAAAAACTTATGTCAAAAATATTGTTTTTAATATCGTCAATTAAAAATGTGTAGTAAAAATACATTGCTACTCGCTACTATTCATATATAATTATTTAAATTAGTAAAAAAAATTAAAAGATGGTTATCAATAATGGTTGGTCAATTTTTTTTAGAAACCACATCATTTAATCACAACATTAACTAACAATAAAAAATCAATATAATATTATTTGAAAATATTGATCAAGTTTGAAGAAATACTTGATAAATAAATCACCTATAATAGGTTTCACATCAGTTTATACTCATCTGTTAGTAAACCTCTAATGCATCTTCAAGTCATGTCTTTAATTAAAAAGTTATATTAATATTATATTTTGAATAATATTCATTTTTGAAATGTTAATATACATTGTTTAGAATTAATTAATTATATATTTACATATATGTTTTCAGTTTTATGCTGACGTCTCGAATTCGTCGCAAAGTTAAAAAAATTCTAAACAATAGTTAAAGAAAACTGTAAACATATTCAAAGTTGAACAAATCTATTGACAACTCATATAATTTTAATTCTACATAACATTTTATACTCTTTTTTTTTTTTTTTTTATCAATTTATACACTATAGGTCTTTATTTAAAATGTGTTTTATGTTATTTTTCGGAATTACAAAAAATAATTTTTTTTTAAGATATGAAAATAGCCATTTTATAGATATGTTTTAAAGAAAAATTTTGATACTTAAAACTCTTATTTTAATTCAATAGTTATGTTTCTACATTTTGATTTTTTGATGATTTTTTAATGGTATCAAACGTAAAAATATTACGTTATTTACTGGCAGCAGTACGCGATTTCTTTTCCATGAAAAATAGTAACATTTCAATGATCATCTGTAATTGACGTGAAAACACAAGAAGTAGTAAAAATGAGTTTATCAAAAAAATTATAAAAACGTTATCTAAAACAAGTTGAGTTTTTAATTAAATAGGTTCATGTTTCATTAATCTATACGTGGATAATAACGAATAAGTATATCTATGATTAAATCTCCTAAAAAGTAATATCCTATAGTAATATGATATCAACGTTAGAATCACACAAATTAATAATTATTATTACTTTTTTACTTGACCATCGAACACATACGAAAATGTTTCTAACATTTTGTAATACAGATTTGAGATAATCGCTTCTGTAAAAAGCTTGTTCAAACGTTGCTATTTTTTACGAAAAAAAACCGCGTATACTGTAAACATGTACAGTAAATAATGTATACTTTTCACGCTTGATACCATTGAAAAATCTTATCTTAATTTTTATCTAAATATACATAAAAAAAAAATTACAACTGATCAGTTTTTTTTATATAAAGCAAAGCTCTAAACTAATGATTACATTATCACAAAACAGATCAACGGGATTTCATATTTTTACTAGAAGTTTTAAGATCGGGAAACTTTAGGATTGGTAGATGAGTAAAATAATGTTATGGGCACAAATTATTATAGTTCTAATAGGTAATTCTTTCACCGCCTAATTTTATCATTCCTAAAAAGAAATATATTTTTATGTTTTTAGCTTGTCATTTTCTTAATTATATCATTTTATATTTTATAAGCTAGTTATATGTTATTTATAAGTTAGTTATACATGGATTGTCTTTAAAAAATAAAGTTGATATATAACATAAGGTATGAACAAAAAAAAATGGAAATAAATATGTAACTAACAAATACCAAAAAACATTTTTTTTAAATTGTTATTTTAACATAAATTGTGAGGATAATATTAAAATAATCACCTTATTTATTGCCTTTAAGAATATACTTAGGTATATAATAGTTTTCCATAACAATATTTTACAGAGTAATTGAGCAATGATTAATTCTTTTAACACCAATATGTTAGCAATAAAACCGATATTATACAATGGTTAATAAAAATAAAAAAATCATGTTAGTATGAACTATTACGTAATTAATTAATACCACTAACATAACAGTATTTATTGTATTATCCATTTTCTATTTTGTTGCATCAACAAATTATTTTATTATTTAAAGTTTTGTCAACTTATCCTGTTTTCCCGTAATTAATTTTTCTCGGAGAAAATTTTATTCATAATTTAAACCCAAAAATTATTGCAATATTTTAAAAGGAGCAAAAATAATAGCTTATATTTTTTAAAAGATAGTGATTAATGTAATGAACTTTTTTACAGTGATAGCTGTAGCGCATCACTTTATAAGTAACGATCTAATCACTGTATTTCATAAACAATACAAATATCAATATTATTGTTCAATCACTTTTAAATTTAAAACTATTATATTTATGTAGATTAATAGTTTTCCTATTTAATTTGCCTTATAATGTATTAATAATTTAAAATGACAAATAAAAAAAAAAATTCTCTAGAATGAAACATATTATTAATATTTATTTTCTATAAATAATTCTAGAACTAAAATGAATCACGTGATTTTTCAATTTTTGCATGTGCTTGTAAGTATTAAGCAATCATTTAGAATCTATTTAATTTAAACAACAGTTTATTAATCAATAATTTTACTTTTTCAGTATAAAAAAATTAAAAATTAATAGTTCTCTTTTGAACTTTTCTGAACTATGATAAAAATATTTATTACATTTCCTATTAAATATTAAATATATAATTTAGGCAGTCCTTGCTCGATTTTAGCTTCAATGAAAAGCTGTGAGGTATTAATTTTACCATGATGTTTTCTTTTGTCTATGTCTGTTTCCACTTATTCTCAACACCTACTGAACTAATTTTTCTAAAATGTCTATAATAAACATTTGATCACTCTGTATATTTAAAAGAATCAGAATTTCTGTATCATTTTCAAAAGTTAATCTTCTATGCAAAAGTTTCTATTTTTAACCACTTTTTGTAGGTAGGTAAAGTATCGAATTTTATAAATATGCCAAATAAAAAGGACGTATCTTAAGTATTTCCAAAAAAAATTGTTTTTTTTATTCATACATTTTTCAAAAAGTTTAAGCAACTTAAAGCCTAAAAAGTAAAATATATATTAAAATTTGACTATTATAAAAACTATAACTCTTTAGATATTTCCCCCAATTATACCTTTAGCTCGATAAAATTTGTAATCTTTTGATGCATCGTAAAACAAAATTGTTCCACTGAGAATATTTGTGGTTAGTAATCACAAACAAATTGTATCTTCATCACGTAACTTTTTTTGTAATGAAAATGATATGACATTCAAAGTCCCTCATGTCTGTCAATAAAAATAAATAGTTAAATATTAATATGTCAAATATTTTACTGATTTATTCAATATTAAAGAAAAATACGTCGATTGATTACGAAACAAATGATTTTTTTTTTGTGTGTGTCTATCTAGAGTATTCAGAATTTAATAATACAGCGGTGACATAAATATAATGTTGATAGTTTTATTTTATTTTAATAGATACATGTGTTTTTTCGGTTAATCAATCAAAAAGTGTAATATAAATACTTCATGATTGATAAATTAAGAAAAACCGTTTTTTTTTTTTTTAAAAACAAAAAAAAATATTAATATTATTTTTATTTCATTGAAAAATCTGTTGGTTTATTAAATAATGAAGACCATGTAGACACAGGCTATAGCCTAAAAATGTATTGATTTTAGGTTTACTAATGACATTTATTTAAATTTAGAGTTTCATATATCTCATGAACTCGTTGAATAATGAGTACGATGTGGGAGATGATGAAATTATACAAACTTTAGGTGTTGACTATAAAAATAGAATAAATGAACAATGCATATGCATTTCAAAAATTAAAAATATTGAAAATACTATGAATGATAAAAGTAAGATAATTTAATTTCCTCAATAATATTAAATAAATTATGTTTGTTTTTAAAATATAAAAAAATTCATTTAAAAAAAAAAACTCCAAATTTTAACTATAACCAATTAACACTTAAGTGAAAATAAAAACTATTAAAAACGTATTGAATACAATGTATGCAAGTCATCAGTAGCGTATACAGAAATTAAATTCAGGGAGGGATTTTGAAATTTAAAGAAAATTAGAAGAGACACTGCCCATATTGTTCGTTTACAAAAATTCCTATTTTACTTTATTGTGGAAATATTTATAGTATAATATGATCTTTTTTATTGTTATTATTTATTGTTTATGGTCCAAAATTGTCGCTTAGCTTATAAATTTTTGGAGGGGTTTTAACCCCCCCCCCACAATTTTGTACGCCAGTGCGAGTCATACATTATGACACATAAAATTGAATATTCTTGCGAGTAGTGTATTTAGGTGGCAAAGGAGACAACAGCCTCTTTGTATTTATAAACAGTGTCTCAGATTTAACAAACAATTCTAATAACTTTTTATCCTATCATATAGTCAACGTTATTTGTGCATTCTTAGACCACGTTATTATTCAATTTTTTTATTTATCTATTCAGTGATTTATTATACATTTACTAATTTAGCACACAACTACCAATTTTTCGTTAAATAATGATTTTTTTTATCAAAATGTATGTATTAAAATTTAATTAATTTTTATAAACCATTGTAATTTGTAAAATTTATTGTAAGAAAAAATTATTCCTAACAGTGGATTTTAGAGGTAACTTTTTATCTATTTTATTATTTTTTTTAATATTAAATTGAGAATGGTTTAAATAAAATGTTGAGAATTCGATTACTAGTATTGAATTATTACTTTTTGTGACATTCATTTGAAGATTTAGAAAAGATGAGAAGTGGGGTAGTGACGCTTTATTTTTACCATAACGTACAGACAAAAGTTCTTTTACGTTGCGCACCTCTCGCGCCTACAACAACTAAAATATATAACATTTTAGAAAGGTTTTGAAAAATAAATCTATACATTTTAATAAAAAACACATTATTTAACGAAAATATGGAGAGTAGTATGCTTAAAAAATCATTCTGTATAATAAGAAAAAAATTCATTCATTATTATTACTATAGTAGCAATTATTAATTGGTTTTCTTATAAAAATAAAATCAGTAGAACCATAGTAATTTAGAAAATTTACTTATTGAGATTAAATCATTTTAATATATTCAATTATAGAATAAGTATGTAGCGTGAGTGAGTACTACCTGTACTGGTCTAAGCATATTTATGATTTGTATTACACTAATAGTTAATAAAGATTACTTTTTATTTTACTATTTAATTATTTTTTTTTGCTATCAAAAAAAAAAAATGACAGAGTAATGATAATTAGATAAAAAATAATAAAAGTTGTCAATTAGATCTTGAAACATCTGTTACAAATATGATAAGAACTTCATATTACAGACTATTTCTCGAAAATCATTGAAAACATAAAATACATGGCATAGTTGGAACAAGTATAGATCTGACAGTGGGTTATATCTATATCATAGTAGGCTTCAGATAAATTAATTTCCATTTTAAACTGTTGATTTATAAAAAAAAAACTCCAAGTAATAGAAAATAATTGGGAAAAAATTTGTCTTTTTCCCTTGATCGGTCAATTTCACATGGTACAACATTGATTGATTTGTTTTTTTTTAATCATCTAGTGCGCTATAAAGTATTTAATTTGATAAAGGTTAAAAGTTGTAGACGCTCCAGAACATTTTCAATAACTTTTATATATTAAAATTGCTTTTTTAGTAATATTAAATACACCTTATTTGTATTTTGCTATAAGTTATAAAATTAAAATTAAAAATTAATTTTTTTAGCATATTTTCCAATATTTATTACATAAAAATCCGAGTCTTAGTGACTAAAATGAGAAATCCCATTTAGACATCAATAGGATTTCCAAAACACAAATTGATATATCAAAGAAGTATCAATAGCTACTTCTCAGCAATGCAACTATATGATTTCATATATAAGTTATAATATATTAGATCTCAATTAGTATGAATTAGTATATGTAAAATTGAAGTATAAAAATTAAAATTAAAGGGCATGCTGCAAGAAATAAATGTAACATCATAAAGACTTGTGCGGGTTAACCAGCGTCAGACCTTATATATTTGTCTATGACCAGACCTCATAAAATTACTATAGGAATTTTATGGGGTAAAATGAGTAAAGGGATATGATATACCATATCCTATTACTCCTATTTATGGGGCGTTTAATATAATGCTCCATAAAATATCATTTTTCTTCACTTATGGTTAAATTAAAACTTGCTACTATTTATATTTAATAGTTATAAATTGTTATGATAATAATTATTATTATTATTCAACGCGTTAAAATGTCAACACTCTTATATATTAATAAAACTTAAGTAATGATTATATATTTATTAAAAAATAGTCCACTGAATTAATTACTGTGGCCGAAGAATTAGTAAGACTTGTACATATGTTAACTGATTACATAAAATTATAAAATAATTATTATGTTCTCTCTAATTGTAAGTTTACTTATCAATGTAATTAATATCAATTTTGAATTTTTCGAAAACAATAAAATGTTTAGATAAATGTGAAATTGACATTCCTAAGCATGTCAATGAAGAATTTATAATATTTTTGAGGCAAGGTACGATAGAAAAATTCTATACGAATGTAACAAACTTGGTATGTACGAATGAAAACAAAAAAGATTATCACACCAAAGTAAGAGATTGTTTAAGACTATTCTATAAAAATGTGCTCCGGTTAGGAAATAAACGTGTAAGTACATAAGAATAAAATATAACATAACAAAATTTTTATAGCATAACATTTGCTAAATATCGAGATAACGAAAAGCCAACCTTAAAATAATCATCTTGCATCTCACACAAAATCGTTAAAAATATAAAACATATTATTTTTTTCAAAAGTTAATAGTATCCTATGTTCTATAACTTACAAAAAAAAAAATTGGTTCTTTCACTTATAAAGTAGTACCAACTCAAGTTTATTAAATCTGATGTAGGTGAAGTAGTATGACCAAATCCCTAAAGAATATTATGTTATTCTATACAAAAATTTATTAATAAATTTAAAATGTTTTGACAAATTTAAGAACTTTTTTAGTATTTAATAGAATTATATATGTATTCAGCAAATTTAAATAATATATTTATAGGATTATTCCACATTTTTATTTGTTATTACTTCAGTAAAAATTATTACATTACCTACGGCAAAATGACTACTAATGTTTGTTTATATTAAAAAGTGTCTAAGGCTTAGCATTACTAAAAAAAATCATAAAAAATGATGTTCCTCAAATACTTTTATCGTAAACTATTTTCATCAATCATTAAAAATTCTATACAGAACTATTTTATAATGAATAACTATACAAAGGCTTATTGAACTTTTGATATATTATTTTAGAAGAAACAAATAAAAAAAATATATATATATTCATAAATATATTAAATAAAAATATTTTAGACAATGTGATTCCTTAATTACACCTCACAAAATATTTTTGAAAATATAAGATCTAATCATATATGTATTTTTTTTTTTTGCAACAAAAAAGATTTATTTTTGAATTATAAGAAAAATTAAATTTCTATTATCATCTTTTATGCCTGAATTTATCATTAAATTTGTTTTTTTAATTGCAACCCTATTTTTTATTAATCAGTTTTTTGTGTGTAACGAGTCTTGAGTTTAAGGGACATGAAAATATAAGCATTTATTTATACAAGGCGCGAATGCTATAAATCGATAAACGCAACCGGTTTTTTGCATTGTAATGAATGGTTGTAAAAGCATAAGTACATAGATTATAATATGTACAAATAGTTTTTGGTATAATAACTTAAAGTATATTCAATAAAATATTCGTTTTCACCCAGTTTGGTTTTCATGAAGACCCGGAAAATAACTCATGTTAAATTGTTTTTACACTTATCATTCAACAAAAATAATTATTTTAATGCTACTATAATTTTGTTGCAGTTATCTATTAGAATTGCCGAAGTTATGAATAAAATGTTGTTTGATGAGGATTGAATAAAATAAAATCCCAAGTCTAAAACTGCAAAAATTAGTTAAACTTAATCAATCACTTATTTTCAATTACGTTATTTCAAAATGTTGTCTAAAATATAATTTATTATAATATAATAGTTTATTTAAAAAAATAAAATAATTGTTGATTAAGTGCATATTTTTTTATATATACCTTAAATATTTAAAATTATAAAACCAAAAATTGAAAAAAATTGAGTACATTTTTAGCTTTGATGCGAAGCTAGGCAGGTATTAATATTTATAAGTTTTTTTTTTTTTTTAATTTTTTTAGTTTTGATACGAAGTTGAGAAGGTATTAATTTTACTATGATGTACTATTGCTGTCACAGTCATTGATTGTTTATTATCAGTTATGACTTTCAATAGATATACTATCTGTATTGTCAGTTAGTATATTTATAAACTCAAAACAATGTGCCTTACTACTATTGATAATAACAATGCTGTGTACCTGCTAATATCGATGTCGTAAAAAACCAATTTAGCTACCTATATTTGTAATCTCTTGTGTATTATACATGTATATTAACTCAAAAATTTGAAACTTTAAATGTCTATAATATAGAAATTATATATTATATAATAAACGGATAAAGTTATACTAAAATTCCAATGTCATTTACTATTAAATAAAAAACATTTTATTAAATTCAAAATATGTGTTCCCATTAAAAAACAAAGTTCGCGCCCGGGTAAGGGCGCAAACTATAAGGGAAGAACTTAAATGTATTACATAGTTAATAATTCAAGAATAATGTGTAACTAATGATAATAAAAAAAAATGTTTAAATTATTATTATTCTGTAAGTAATTGAGTGGGTTATGATAAAAAAATCACTCTGTATAATGAAAAATAATTTTTATTCCTTTCAATAATTTAAATATAAAGATTTTTAAAAATTGAGTCTTATATCCACATTTTTAACTTTCATTAAATATAAGTAGATTATCATTCACTGAACATAAACAATTTTAATTAAAATTGCATTATTATTAAACTATTAAACTTCGTTATAAATAAGGAAAAATATAAAAAAACATACAGATAGTCAAGTAAATATTCAGACATCGGCTAAAAAAAATAATTTGTCTCTCGAATTACATTTTTTTTACAGACCTTAAAGTAACACCATTAAAAAAATGTTTGAATGTTTAACTAAATTATATTAAAATTCTGTCAGATAATATTTACTTGACTCACTGTATTTAATAATATTATGAAATGATATAATTATATTTTTATGAATTATGTTATTTTTAGTAATTTCATAAAGGCTCATTTAATAAGTATAAACTTAACAATACATTATTCGATTTTTGTTACTCAGTCATAGAATTTTCAAAGAATTTTAAATTATTGTTTGTAAGTTATATTCTCTTAGCATTATTTGCATAATTATAATAATAATTTTTGAAGGTACAGGTTGCATTTTACAATTATTTAAAGATTTTGAAGTTAGATAAAAATTCATCATTGATTTGGTTTTATAATGCCGGTGACAGTGTAACCGATATTATTACTGCCACCAATCTGAGGGATAGCTCATAAATATTTACATTTAATAGTTATAAATTGTTATGATAATAATTGTTATTATTATTCAACGCGTTAAAATGTCAACACTATTATATATTAATAAAACTTAAGTAATTATTTTATATTTATTAAAAAATAGTCCACTGAATTAATTACTGTGGCCGAAGAATTAGTTAGACTTGTACATATGTTAACTAATTACATAAAATTATAAAATAATTATTACGCTCTCCCTAATTGTAAATTTACTTATCAATGTAATTAATATCAATTTTGAATTTATCGAAAACAACTCCTCCTTCTTCTTTAGAAGAAATTCTAAACTAAAAAAGAAAACTAATTTTTTAGAATTAGTTAACTGTGAGAATACAGCATTAACAGGGGCACCACATGAAGGTTTCTGCCACGCCCCCTATCTTCTTCTTCCTCGCCTTAATCCCAACTACGTGGGGTCGGCCACCCATATCCTAAACTTCCACTTGACACGATCTCCCACATCATTTACACTCACATCAACTGTTCTCAAATCGCATTCAATAGCATCCCTCCATCTCTTTTTTGGTCTTCCTCTACCTTTTCTACCTTCAACATTCATTTCTATAACTGTTCTTACAGCTTCCGATTCTTCTCTCCTCATAACATGACCAAACCATCTAAGTCTATTTCCTCTCATCTTATCCACAATTGACATAACACCTATACTCCATCTTATATGCTCGTCCCTTATTCTATTTTTTCTAGTCACTCCACTCATCCATCTAAGCATTCTCATCTCTGCTACTCTCACTCTCTGCTCTACTTTCTTATCAACCACCCAACACTCTGAATCATACATCATAGCTGGTCTCACTACAGTCTTGTAGAATTTACCATTCAGCCTCATTGGAATTGTTTTATCGCATAAGATGCCAGACGCTTCTCTCCACATCAAAAACCAGCACTTAATTCTGTGTCTTACATCTTCATCAATACCACCTCTCTTTTGCACAACTGACCCTAAATACTTAAAACTTTCCACTTCTCCAATCACATCCTTGCCTATTGTCACTGACCTCCTCATTTCACCTACCTCGTGTTCTCCTTTGTCAAGCTCGTACTCTATAAACTCTGTTTTACTTCTACTTAATCTTAAACCCTTTTCTTCAAGAGCTGATCTCCACACCTCTAGCTTTTGATTAATTTCCTCCCTCTTTTCTCCTATTAACATTATATCGTCAGCAAACAACATGCACCACGGCACCTGTCCTTGTATTTCTCTAATAATTTCATCCATCACTATAGAGAATAAGTAAGGGCTTAAAGCAGAACCTTGATGCACTCCTACTCTTACCCGAAAACCTTCTGATATTCCTCCTATGCTTTTTACCCTGGTACAAGTGCCATCATACATATCTTCTATTATATTAATGTACCTTTTCGGGACTCCTTTTCTCATTAATGCCCACTTTAAAACCTCTTTTGGTACTATGTCTGTGTTACCGTCTCAGAAACCGTACGTCGCATTCGTCACTTAATAAAAATAAATGGAAATTTAGCTGGTTCAAATTTTAAAGTTATTTTTCTCGACTTCAAAGAAACAAAAAAAATTAAATATGTTAAACTTTTTATACTATGTCAATTATATGTAATATTTATGAAAATCAGTGTAATTCCCTTGTAATAAAATAAAATACAAAACCAAGAAGTTTAACACAAAAATAACATATTTTTGAATACGGTAGATATTTACGCCAAGAAGACAAAATAAAGTCCAAATAATTTTAATATTGAAGTGTATTACATAAGATTTAATTTAAGATATATATAAAAGTGTCAGTATTTCCGGAACAATTTCAAAAGTTAATTTTTTGTGAAAAAGTTGTCATTTTGAATCCTCTCTGTGGGCAGGTAATGAGTCAAATTTATAAAAAAAATATATCAAATGATAGGTAAATACATTATGCATCTATAAAAAAAATTATATTGATTTGTTCATTTTTGAAAATGTTATGGTAATTTTAAGTAAAAGAATTGAAAAAAAATTTTTTTTTTTAAATTAACGATTTTTAAATTTGTAAATTTTTTGGAGATTTCCCCCATTTACGGGGAACGAGAGATATTTTTTCAATTTTTGAGGGTAATATCTTCGACTAGATACAATTTGTGATCATTTGACGTTTTGTTGAAAGAAATCGATTCGGTGAGAGCTGGGAAAAAGTGGTAACAGATACAAAAAAAAAAGTAAATAAATACATTAAAAAAAAAAAAAAACACATCATAGTAAAATTAATACCTTCTCAGCTTCGCATTGAAGCTATAATTAAATATTAAATATTATGATAATTGGTATTGATGTATAAGATTCTATTACAAATTTAAATATATAGTCTTTTATTTAAAATTCTATACAAATGTATTAATTTCAACCTATTATCTTAAGTTAATAACACAATTTTATTTATATTGATGGTACCAAAAATAGTGTTAAAATTGAAATATTATTAAAATATTGTGATGATTTTAATCATAAATGTAAACTTTATACTCTCCTATACATTTCACTATTTATTATTTTTGAATTTCACTCATTTTATTAATTAAATGTCTACTATGTTTCTGTTAAACTGCTTCTAGAGTAATACTTTTCCTGCACACACACTTATCGTGGCCGGCATAGCGAGGTACTCTAACCGGAATCAGTAAAGACAGTACCGGGTCTAGGGCGGAGCCCCATCTAGGCAAAGTCTAGTAGATATTATATTAATAATATTAAATTTTATAAAAATCATTATTTGTTTTTTAAGTATTTGTTCTCAATAAATGTTTAGTTTAATGCAAGTGTTCGAATTATATATTTTTAAATTTTACAAAAGAAATACTTTATTCTTATAGTAAATATTTATTTACTGTAAATGAGTTTAATTTGAAGTTTTCTGTAAGTTCTCAAAAAAAAACTCAAACAGGTTTCTTGGCACTAAATTTCTAAATACAATTTGTTAGAAAAAATAACACTTTTTAATATGATTATATTGAATAGGGCTAATATATATTTTTCTCTTAGATAATTGAATATATTTTTTAACGAAAAAATTATCTATATTCTAAGCATAAATTAATAATAGTATACTTTTATAATATAACGATTAAAAAAGGTTGCATAACAAATATTTACTTTTTTCCAGGAAAACGATTTTTAATCCAGAGATTTTTTTTATAACCTCTTATTAGAAATATTTATTATTTTAAATATATTTACAGAATGTTGTACTAAATGTAGTCAAACTTGATTATCAATTGTCTGTTGATTATGAACTGAGTAAATTAAAATTACTGGAAATGACGTTATGAATAAAAAGGTTGTTCTACAAATGGAACCTTTTGATTCTGATTAAACGAGAAATACTTAATTATTTATAATATTTTTATTTTGAACAAATAAATGGCGTATTTTCAATGACAATAACATTTATAATAAATATCTATTAATAAATTATCAATTAATTTTAAATACCTTGAAAAAATTGTAGATTTTAAGCTTTAACAAAAAATATTAAAACTTACATTCAGGAGAACAACTACATAATATTTCAGTGTTACATAAAATATGTATGTATCTTAAAATCTATATTTTTTTGTACAGAAAAATGTGTTGAATGTATTTAATACATTGTATATTCTAGCAATTTTTCAAAAAATCAAATTAAGATTTATATACACTTAAAAAACTGATTTTAAATTCTAGATTTATAAATAATATTTGTATACTAGATACACTGTAAGAACATATATTACTATTCTTACCACTTGTATTACACACGTTGTATTTTCATTTACTTAATTCGTAATACAAGTTAATTAGCATATAGGGAGATACTGGTGTGAAAATTCTATTCGTCTGTTGTTCGGATATACTAACAAAGGATAGTTGTGTTAGAGTGGCCGATATAGATGTAGTTTTCGATCACTTTTACCTTATTCATTTTGTCAATAACTTAATTTATTTTTATTTATGCAACCACTTAATTGGCATTTGTCTATCGCCAATTGTCATCATAGCCAATCAACTCCGTCTCACTTGGATACACCTACTTATCAACTGTACTAGGATTCAAGTCAGACGTATTATTCATTACACATAACTTATAGGTACTGAATATTTAAAATATAACTTTACTTTGTCAATAAAACAATGGTTTAACTCATTGGCGCCGGAACTAGAGAGGCAGGGAGCAGTTGCCCCCTTAGTTAAAATACTTAATGTTTCTATATAAACAAAATTATTTTTGTACGTTCATTTTTCAAAAATGTATGGCAGATTAAGAGAAAAAAATTGATCGATTTTAAAAATTATAATTTTTTGGGAATTTCCTCCATTTACAGAGAATGAGAAAAATGTTTCAATTTTTAATGACAATTTCTTCAACTAGATACGATTTGTGATAATTAGACGTATTGTTGAAAAAATCAGTTCGGTGTAAGCTGAGAAAAAGTGTTGACATATACAAAAAAAAAACATTATGGTAAAACTAATATCTTACAGCTTCGCATCAAAGATAAAAATAATTTCTTATCGATTTCAGATTTTATGAGTATCCTAATATTATCTTTTAAAAATTTTATTACTTAAATAAAATTTTAATTTTATTTTCACCAAAAATTTAATTTGTTCTTTTTTGTAGTTTTTCATTTATATTTTTCTAAATTTTAATTTTTAATTCAGTTAAAGTTATTATGCAGAAAAATGTTGACATTCAATGTAAATTAAACTAAACAGTTTTTAAAGTTAGTAAGGTAATTTTTTTTTTATTATTTATTGTAATAAATAAAAAAAAATTTAATTAATCTCCTAACTATATTTTATTATATTACCAATACTTATTAATAATATAATAAAAATAATATGTATATAAAATTAGCATTTTTTTTATATATATTCATTAAAATTCGCCAAAAAATAGTGTAACCCGCTTTTTAGCTTAATAACAATCAAGGGGGCCGAGTTTCAGTCATTAAATTTTTGCCCTTCATGTAAAAAATAGTTCCTGTGCCCCTGGTTTAACTTAATTATATAATCTCTCGCTGGTAACTAATGTACACAATTTCCTGTGTCTTTTTCAGATAATTAAAACTCATTTAAGGAGATATGGATAATATTTAGACACGCGTCAGGTAGCTTCCGCCGATTCTTGGTTTTAACCGATGATCCCTATAGATTTAACGACCCCTAATGACAAAATTACATTATAATTGTATAAAATTGTTTTTTTAAATATTCCCTGAATAAAACATTACAAAACTTTAAATGAGACTTAGAAAAATATAATTATATAAAATATTTTATTATTTGAAAATTTACAAAAAAAAAAAGAGTTCTTCAGTGCAGAAACGCAAAAAGGAAATTAAAAAATGTTTCTTGTTTTATATCCTTAATTCGAGTAATTACTATATATTTTAAGTATATGTAATTGACTATTTTCAAAAATATGCTGCTATAAAGAAAATTAAGAATAGCTTTTTAAAAAATTTAAAGGTTTTTATCTTCAATCAATTGACTTCAAATTTTAATTTTGGACACATTATTATGTTCATTAGTAGCTGAATTTTTATAAATAACGAAAAACAAATAAAACGCATTTAAATAACATTAACACATTATCAATTTTACATCGAATCCAAAAACTATTTTAAATAAAATAAATATTTACTTATAGATCATGTTTTTACGAAATTTTATTATTATGTTTAAATAAATACACAATCTATTTAAAATTATATTTTAAGTAAAATTTTTTTAAATAGAATTTATTATAACAATGTATACAGTGCACAATAACTTACAGAGATCCATAATTGAATAAATAATATCATTTTGCCTTTTTGTCGATTATAAAATAAACTTATTAAAAAAATTTTGACATTAAGCTAAAATATACTCTATATTATAAAGAAAAAATTAATCCCAAGTGTAGACTTTAAGGGTTAATTTTTAATAGTTAAATGGTAACCTATTGTTTTTTTACTATTAAATGGAAAATGGTCTAAATAAAATTTTGACTGGACGACAAGCAGTTTTGTATTATTACTTTTAGAGATATTAGCATTTGAAGATTTCGAAAAAGTGAGAAGCAAGTTAATGTTAAGCAATGCTTTATTTTTATCATAACTCACAGATAAACTTTCTTTTACTAAGCATAACCCTTTCACCTATAACTAAAAATTATATTAATTCAAAAATTAATAACATAAAACTGGTTATTGATTACTCAAAATATTATTTGATTCATTCCCCATTTTATAGTAAAATAGTAATTATAGGTTCCCATTTAACTTTTAAAAGTTATCCCTAAACTTAGCCTTAGAAATAATTTTTATTATAATAAGCATTTTATATTAGAATATATATTCAAGAATATATGTTTATCATAAAAATTAAATTTAATATAAAATTGATATTCAATAATATTAATAAGCTTTATATTTTCTATGACTCAATAAAATAAATTTAATTTTGTAATTTAAATGTATATTTTGATGAATAAATCATTAATAAAGAAAAAATGGAGAGTTTAAGTTTTCAAATTTTAATGTGTTCAGTTAATGCAAAATCATTATTTAACAAAAAATGCAGAGATAATATTCTTAATAAATCATACTGTACATCTTTTTCTTTAAACTATTTTTTTATTTTTGGTGTATCACATTCGTAACATCTGTATACTAAAAATGTGGCAACTAACTAACATATTAAATTTAATTCGATAGAATCAGCTATTACCATTTCAAATACTATAGATACATTTATGTTTTATAACTATATTACGATTAATTCATTTTAAAAATGTACTTACTATATTTCACAACATTGTGCTTAACTGGACCAATAATAGCTTCATATGAAGAACAGATGGAGATGTTGCTAAGAAGACCATTTTGGGAAACTGTAGTATCAGAATATCCAAATATAGCTATAAAAGATGAAACCGAAGAAGTTACATTGAGAGAATTGTTTGCGCCAGGTTTAAACAATAAAATAGTAGATGAAATAAATAGAAATGAAAAAATACGACAATTCCATTTATTATTGAGTGTTATTTATGGTGACTATATGTTTAATTTCCTTGAATTTTTGAGTATTATCCAAAAACATCATTTAAGACTTAATTTACAATGGAACTGCAAAGATGATTTGGTACTTCTTATTCAATATTATGACAATATAACTTCAATGGTATATAATTCATTATCTTTATTAGAAAGTTGGTACCAGGTTGATGATAGTTATCCTCTTATTAATAATGGAGTCCAATATGAAATTTTTAAATTAAGACTTATTGAAAATTTCAACGAAGAAATTTTCTACCGGAGTTTAAATACTTTAATGGCAAGTTTGAACTTTTTTTTTACCAATAACTTTAATGCAACAGCAAATTTAACAATTAAAAGAAAAAATGTATTATTAATAAACTGTTTTATTGCATTAGTATTAAATTCAAACTTCAGTCAGGAACGTAGAATAACGTATTTCAAGGATTGTTTAAAGTATGCATATGATGATTTTTTAAAGTTTTTTAATGATGTAGGATTTGTTTTTGATGAAAACACACGTGAAGTTAACTTGATACTATGATTTAAAACTCAAATCCGAATACACTGCTTATATCTCAAGCCAAATTCACATTATACATAAGCGAAAATATATTCATTTATTAATATTATATTTATATAAGCTGTTATAATTTATTGTATTATAAAAAAATTACAAATTTCAATTAATACAAATATATATATATTTTTTTTTGATCTTGATACGTGTCAATTTTATCAGGTATATGCTTTGTTTAAATGTGTAATAGAAAACCTGTGATTTAATAAATGCTACTCTAAGTGCAAATAATTTTTTTTATAAAATTATTTATAATGAAGCCAGTTAACGCTTTCTGCTATCGCATAAGAACAATCGAAAAAAGACAATTTTCGAGTAAAAAAAACCTTAAAAAATCAGAGGTCAATTTTATTTATGTTTTTCGATATTTGGGTAGACTGTGATTAACTTTTAATCAATTTACACGGCATTTAATAGAGTTCTTGACCACAATTTAAATTTATACATTTTATTTTAAAGTATAAAGTAAATTCACTACATACAAATTTTCATCGTCACTAATATCATAAAAAATGAAAACAATATTTAGTAAATACAATGATTTTATACTTATATTATAGAATGAATGTAAAATATACCTAAAAATAATTTGTAATAATAAATTAAAAGATGTAGTAGATGACGTGACTATACAAAGTATAAATATTTTTTTTTTATATAATTTCTCATAGAAATTTAACACAATTCAAATTTTAAACATTATTTTAACTACAAAAGATTTCTTTTTTTATTGTAATCTTGTTCGGCCCATGCTATTCTATTTACTGTATCTGTATGGCTTGTGATTTTGCTCCCCAGTTATGTAATGTTTTGAACTGTTTCCAGCAATATTCCATCTAAAGCTATGTTTGCATTAATCTGCTGTTTGCTAAATATAAGAATCTTAGTTTTCCTTTGATTTATTTTCATGTAGTGTTCTTTAAGCGTGCCGTTAATTTTTATGAGCATGTTAGTTATGTCTTCTTCCCTTTTTGAAGAAAACAAACAGTGGTTTGTTGATTTTTTCTATGATTATCCTTAAGCATATAAATAAATAAATCTAATATAATTATCGTACTTGGCATAAAAAATTAAACTTCTAGAATCTTTTTTTAAACGAATATGCGTTTTCCAATATATAAAATGAAATAAATAATTAAAAATCAACAAAATCAGTTATAACGTATTTTAAGACTTTTACATGTTTTTTACTGTATGTAGTGTTTTTGTGGGCTATTTATTGAGAAAACAACATTGAAGTTATTATTTTTGAATTTCTTGTAAAATTTCCTTTACTTGAGTTTTACTTTTATTATTCTAAGTTAAGAGAAAAAAAAGTTATGAGACATAGATCAGTTATTTCTATTAAATTTGACTCTTCGACTCAACTTAATAGGCCCGGGGGCACGGGTTAACCTTAACGGATCGGTCCCAAATTTTGCACAGCTCATTTTTTTGACCATTAAAAAAAAATTAAGGGGTAGCGTAAAAAAAAAAAAATCGAGAAATGTATATAACTAAAAGAAAAAAAGCCCAGCACAGGGGGTCGCGGCACAGTGGTGACGTGGCATAGTTGGATCAAGTATAATGATATCTGACAGTGATTAAAATCACTATCAAAAATAAACGCTTCGATGCAAATCTTTAGATAGTGTTTAATTTTAAAA